TATATCTGATAACGCGGCTACCCATGTCTTCTTTCTCGGCGGTCAGTGTAGCGCGGAGCAAATTGAATAAAGTTCTCATTATTCGTTCAACTTGGCCGTTGCCTCGCGGCATCCCAGTAGCAATATGATGGAGCTGCACATTTTGTTCGCTTAGGAAATTTTTAAACATTGCCGAAGTGAAGGTTGCACCTCTATCAGCAATAATGCGGCGGGGTTTTCCGAGGTCAGTAAATGCTGAGTGCAAAGCTTTTATTGTATATTCAGAGGTCTTTTTCGTGATTGGTTTCAAAAGAGAGTATTTTGAAAAGGCATCCACAATTACTAATATTTGTGTACACCCATTAGATTTGACAAGTGGCCCTGCATGATCTATGTGCCACGTATCTAATATATCCCTAGGTTTTTCTCCTTTTTGCCAGAAACCACTTCGTCGTCCAGTGTGAGATTTTCCTAGGACACAGGCCTTACAATTTCTTATGTATTTTTTTAGACATTGTCCCATCCTTGGCCATTGCAGATCTTCACGCATTTTTGCAATGCATTTGTCCCATCCAATATGTGAAGATTGATCATGGTACAGCTGCATTGTTTTCAAACGAGCCGCAATTGGGACAAAACACTTAAATGGTTCAGTTTTTGTCACTATTAGTCCATCATTTACTGTATAGTCAGTATACTCCGACGGATTTTCCTTTACATTTTTACAAAATTGGTCATATTGTTGAAAGTCTTTTAAAGTTGTGCACGATTTAGTTATGTCCTTTAAAACGCTAACACTTTTAACTGGATTTCGGCTAAGATAGTCTACATGCGCTAATTTGGGTCCAGGTCGATATTCGATGTTGAAGTCATAATCTTGCAATATCATCCACCACCTAGCTACTCGTGGATGTAAATTCTTTTTAAGAGCAGTAGNGTATATATTTTTTCAGTACCCTAAGGCAATTTCTAAGAAATTTGTGAGCATTTACAAATGTTTTCAACGACAATATGGGAGTAATATAGAACTTTTATAGAAAGCGTATCTTATTCTAAAGTAGAAAGTGAATATATTAAACAAAATTGTAGTAAAGTTAAATAAGTTTCAAAATAAAGTTTCCTCGTTGTAAAAGTTCTATAATTGCTTCTCCAGATTACATTAAAACATCTTAACAAAAGATCTTTATGAACACACTAGACAGTGTAATAAGCCTTATTGCTGAATAATTTGCTGTAGGTATATACCTAATATGTTTATAAAACATCTTAATCTTAAAGTCTTAAGACGATATATGAGTTATGTATAGCTAAATGAATGTTTATAAAATGTTGATAAAATACATAAACTTGTGTTGTTGATTAACAATCTGATAGAGTTCTCTGAGAACCTTTATAAAGTGTTAATAGAACCTTCATATGATGGTTTTATAATTCAATTTCAAGAACTTTCTAAAGTTAAATTTCAATCGCTCAATTGTGATACGACCTAATTAGTTTCCAATACAACATTAATAAAATAAATAAGACTATATTTGTGTTACTATGTACCAAAATTTAGTTATACATTGCATAGCATTTAAATAGTTTCGGAAAACGAATAACCATTATGAATATTGAAATGATAATGTTAATGTAAGTTAAAGAAATAATCATCCGAAAATAGTTCATTCTTTAGAATAAAATAGAACAGATATTTTTTTTATAAATACCACATGAAATTATAAGTAGCGATCAAATTTACAAAAGCAATTTTTTAGAGTCTTTAGAGGACTCTCCGCTACAGGTTAACATTTTTATAACCATTTTCTGTGGATTTTTACATGCCAGCTTTTAATGAAATAAATCATCATGTCTACTTCAAAGGTCTTCGAAGATATTATCTACTTTAACAAATGTACTCGTATATTCACATTTCAAAGTATATCCGAATATGTGTTTTTAAGTTAATGAGACCGTGGAAAAAATAGTATATACCATTCAGGAGAGATGCTATTTTGTCCTCGGTGCATTGTAGCCCTCGGGCTTCAAATTGCACCTCTGCCAAAATAACGCATTTCTCTCCCTTATAGTATAATGTACTATTTTTTAAAACTCCACTATCACAAACTAATTTATAAAAGACATAAGAACATTTCGACAACTAATATTAGAAGAATTATAGACAAAAAGTTTAAGCACCGAAAACATTTTCCCCAACATTTATGTGATCACTATAGCTCTATTCTATACCCAGAATGGGCAAGGGTTTATAAACACATTTTATAATTTATAGGTGATAACACTTACATTTATAAAACTTATAAAGCTCATAAGGAAAAATGCATATGCATGAAATATGTAGATATGTATGTAATGTACCTACACGAGAACATGGTAATATCACAGCTTAATAAGCTGTGGTAATATAATAGTTTCTGTTTTCATTATTTAAAAAACTTACTGGCATCATAGAAGTCATATAAAATAAAGTAATAATTGTAATTGTTTCATATCTTAACGACTATGTTAATTGTTAATCAAATTTCCTTGTGATATTAGCACTACAAACCAATACTTACTCAAAATACTCAAAATTTACTGTAAATTAGTGTGTCGCCACAAAGATTAGTGTAATTTTTGTTTGAGATATGACAAAATGGTACTAAAAAAATTTATCAGTGTGTGTGCGCAAAATTTTAATATCATAAACCTGCTGTCTATTTTGACGTTTTGCTTGATTTCAGATTTTTCTCAGAGTAGGCATATGATATTGAGTTTTTTATTCTGAGAAACATTTTGTCTAGACCTACGTACACATTGAAATTTTCCATACATATCTAATGTTTCATCCTAACAAAATATTTTTATTAATATTTTGCTACCTCCTGCTGAAATGGTACTATATTGGTCATAAAATCAAATTTTTCTAAATTTCTAATTAGCACGATAAAAATCCTTTATAAAAATTACTATATTTCCATTTTTGCAAAAAACGCCAAAATTGTAATTATGTATAAAAAATATTTTCCTATAATTCCACATAAAAATGTGATAGTTTCATTGCAGTAAAATTTAATCATATTGTTCTATCGAATTCTACAATTTATATCTAACTACCTCTGTAGTAGAAAGTACGAAGTATATATTGTAATAGTATATTACGTAATAAGTGTTGTAAAAAGCATTTTACGCACGAATGGAAAAGTTAATTCTATGAGTGCGTAATTGCATTACACCACGTCACGTATTACGTACTATACTTTACCTACGACCACTACTGTAAATACTTAAAAACACACCGTCTGCGATCAATGTAAAATTCCTATTTTACGTACGGTAAAAAAATCGCACAGCTTGGTAAAAAAATCGTACAGTTTTCCTAGCAACCGCCTAGCAACGGTCAATACAAACAGTATTGTATTGACCGTTGCTAGGCGGTTGCTAGGAAAACTGTGCGATTTTTTTACCGTACGTATCATGAATCTTACATTGATCGCAGACGGTGTGTTTTTAAGTATTTACAGTAGTGGTCATAGATAAATATATTTACTAGAACACATTTTCCCATATTTGTTTTTGATTAAATTATTTGCAGAAATATTTTTAAAAATATGAGACCTAACCTAACCTTGACATGCGAAGTAAGAGTTTACCTATCTTTTGCTTTTACGTCATACTTATTAGATTTTAGGATAGCCATATATGCGAACGTGTTAAGCGTTGTTCTTGTAATTCATTCTGGTTGTGAATAATTGCAGAAAACAGATTACAATAAACGGATTTGCTCGAAAAAGTGAAAAATATTAATATAACGTTAAAATGTCTTATTTTTGGCACTTATTAGTTGCAAAGTGTTAGTAACATGTAAATACATAAGTTGTAACCATCTTTAGAAATTCGTTTGTGGTATATATTTTTTCAGTACCCTAAGGCAATTTCTAAGAAATTTGTGAGCATTTACAAATGTTTTCAACGACAATATGGGAGTAATATAGAACTTTTATAGAAAGCGTATCTTATTCTAAAGTAGAAAGTGAATATATTAAACAAAATTGTAGTAAAGTTAAATAAGTTTCAAAATAAAGTTTCCTCGTTGTAAAAGTTCTATAATTGCTTCTCCAGATTACATTAAAACATCTTAACAAAAGATCTTTATGAACACACTAGACAGTGTAGTAAGCCTTATTGCTGAATAATTTGCTGTAGGTATATACCTAATATGTTTATAAAACATCTTAATCTTAAAGTCTTAAGACGATATATGAGTTATGTATAGCTAAATGAATGTTTATAAAATGCTGATAAAATACATAAACTTGTGTTGTTGATTAACAATCTGATAGAGTTCTCTGAGAACCTTTATAAAGTGTTAATAGAACCTTCATATGATGGTTTTATAATTCAATTTCAAGAACTTTCTAAAGTTAAATTTCAATCGCTCAATTGTGATACGACCTAATTAGTTTCCAATACAACATTAATAAAATAAATAAGACTATATTTGTGTTACTATGTACCAAAATTTAGTTATACATTGCATAGCATTTAAATAGTTTCGGAAAACGAATAACCATTATGAATATTGAAATGATAATGTTAATGTAAGTTAAAGAAATAATCATCCGAAAATAGTTCATTCTTTAGAATAAAATAGAACAGATATTTTTTTTATAAATACCACATGAAATTATAAGTAGCGATCAAATTTACAAAAGCAATTTTTTAGAGTCTTTAGAGGACTCTCCGCTACAGGTTAACATTTTTATAACCATTTTCTGTGGATTTTTACATGCCAGCTTTTAATGAAATAAATCATCATGTCTACTTCAAAGGTCTTCGAAGATATTATCTACTTTAACAAATGTACTCGTATATTCACATTTCAAAGTATATCCGGACAATCCTCCATATTTTTTTATTTCGGCTACCCGAATAGGGAGTTAAAATTTGGCGAATTAATCCTGAAGCACTCTGTACAGTATCTAAATGAAATGTTAAATTCTTGTTCTTTAAGAATTGTTGTTTCGAAATAACTACGACAGTTACTTGATAACTTAACATTTATTGCTTATATTTACATATAATGTGGAATGTTTATATATAACACAAACAAGTTTTTAAAACTCGTTTAAGAGATGCTGAGTTAAGAGGTAGATTTGGTATAAATTAACTAGGTACTAAAGTTTGTTATCAATTCCCATAATAACGATTACAAAATTCTGCAATACGTTCGCATGCTTCTTGCAGAAGGTCTCTAGGAACCGTCAGCACAATTCGCATAAATCCAGGAATTGCAAAACACTGAAAATAGATATTGAAAATAACTACAGGGTATTCCTGATATGCATGTACCAGCGAGTCGCCCTAGATTTTTAAGGTCAAACTATTAAAATGAAATTTCTTATGTATTATTTAACGATGAGACTTCTCTTACGAAAACAGGTAGCTTTAATTTACATAATGAACACTCATGCAGTAGTAGAGTGGTATTTTCAATGAAGTTTTAGAATTAATGTATGGACGGAAATAGTTGAAAATAATTTGATTGGCCCAGCAAGATTACCAACGACTTTACCCGTTAAGCTAGAGGATGTTCCCCTACTTATAAGAAGGGAAATGTGGTTCATGTATGATGATGCTCCTCCTCCGTTTACAATAAATGTTCATGTTCAATGTCCATCTGCATGAACAGTTTGAAAACAGATGGATTGGTAGAGGAAACTATACCTCAATCCAATGGGCAGCACCTTTGCCACATCTGAATCCTTTGGACTTCTTTTTATGGGGTGCGTTAAAAGCTCAAGTATATGAAACTCCAGTTGCTGTTTTGGAAGCGCATAATAACTGGATTTGTTCCTTAAAAAAGTACTTGAGTACTTGAGAGGGTATATTTTAATTTTATTTGCCGGCTGCATGTGACGGTTGATTTTTTTGCGATTAAACGATATGGGATATCAAAATCTTGGGACAGAATTTATTTAAAAAATTTTAGCTTTCACCAGAGAATTGTGACATAAATATAAAAAAATATATGAACATTTTTTTAACTGAGGTATCTAGTTTAAAGCATTCATGCAAGTCGATAATTAACATTAATTGCATCAGGATACGCCTTTTATAAATATATTTTCATATACCAAATTTTAGTTTAATCGTTCAACGCTTTTCCGTTGTTGTGATGGTTATCGATATTTTTTCAACAAATTTTGGCGACAACTAGCACCGTTACGATGCGTTTTTGCATATAGGTAAATTAGCGTAAATCGTCATAATTTGACCTTAACAATCTAGGATGACTCGCTGGTACATGCATTTCAGGGACACCCTGTATTACTTAAAAATCTTAAAATCCTATAATTTTAAATTACCGTTAAAATATTAAAATAATTATTTTTTAAACACAAAAATCTGAATAAGTAATAAATAATAAAAGAAACGATAAATAAACAATAATACTAGATTTCCAAGAAACAATGGGAAGTAAAAAAAAGTTGGTTAATATATTGCCACATCTAAGAATGAAATCATATCGCACACCCACATAATCCATATTGTAACTAAATAATAAATGATTGTAAATATTAATGATTATTTTCCTGAATAAAGAATGTAAAAATTTAAAGAAAGAAAAAAAAATACTATTAGAAACTATTCGAACGCTATCATTCATTTTTGGTTTTGATTTTCTACAAAATATGTGTGCACTTTTTGTCTAAATACTCGTATATGGCTCTAATTTCTTCGGATGTGAACTTGGTAATTTTTTATTTATTATTTTTTTCAAGCTATCTCAATGTTGACTTGTTATTATCGTAGAGCAAGATTTATCGTTTTTTCATTAAACAGAAAATACAAAGAATACATTATAAAATTCAAATAATTATTTAGAAATGAATTAAAATATTACTTACATAATATTCTACATTGTTTTTTGAAATAAAGCATCTATCTTTTATTTCTGCCATTATATTTTAACTATGCATTTTATTTTTTTACACCCTGTACAATCACAACACATATTACGTTGAAACACGAAGAACATTTTCTTTCACAGAGATTAATAATCAGTAAAATTCATTATCATTATTATGTTTTCATACCTCTCCTGGTAGACAAAATACTGACTCCTCCTCCATCATCTTCTGTGCAAATTCCAGTCCGTTTGCAAACATAGTAAATTTATTCATCTGAATTTCCACTATCATGTATATAGTTCCTTGTGGCATAAACGGGCTCAACCCCCTAACATTCTTCAGACCCTCATAAGTCAGCTGTGCATTTTCGTACAAAGTAGAAATCAATTCGTCGTGGAAACTCTGAGGGGTATTTTGCAATATAGACGGAAGGGCTCCTTGTATTAAAGTGTTGCTTCCAATTGTTCTTTGGCATAAACACACGAGTGCTTTTCGTACATTATCGAATGCGCCTATTTCATCATGCACTACTATCCAGCCAACCCTCCATCCTGGTACGAGAAATCTTTTAGCCAAACCTCCACAAATTAAGATAGGTACCTGGGAATTTAGCGAAGCCGTGGATACGAATTTTTCTCCGGGGAACACGATCTGTTCGTATATTTCGTCGGCGATCACGGGAACCTTGTGCCTGTGGGCTATTTCTAAGATACTTCGTATGTGTTCTTCATTGAACACTGAACCACAGGGATTCGAAGGATTGTTTAAAATAATAGCCGCCGTATTTTGATCTATCTGAGACTCCAGATGATGCAAATCAGCTTCCCAGTCGTTTTCAGGAATCAGATTGTAGTATCTGCAAACAAAGACAGTAAAAATAAGTATTTAATTCACTAAATTAACAGTACTATAATTATTATTTATGGTCATAACAGAATGTAGAACTTCTGCCAAGTTGGAAAAAGTCAAAGAAATTGTAATATACTGTAACCTTTACCTGTATTAAGCACAATTTCTACAAATTTTTATCATTTCAATAGTGACAGCATTAGTACAGCATATGTTAGCATCTCGACTGCGAAACTTACCTAACAGATACTCCTAGGGCTTCAGCTAAGGTTCTATATATAGGAAATCCGGGCCGGGGCATTAAAATGTTATGATTCTTGGTGCCATCGGCGAGAACGGTTATACAATGTTCTAAAGAAGAAGAACATCCACTGCACAAAATCACATCTCTGGGATCTACATCCACATTATCATGAGAAAGGTATTCTGCAACTGCAGCTCGAGCGTTTTCGTACCCTACACTGGGTGCATATCCATTGCACAAACCTTCCTCTATTATGTCTATTACAGATTGGATGGTTTCTGGAGATGGTTTCAGATTACCATAAATGGTAGGATCACCTATAAAAGGTAAGAAATTTCAAAGTGCCCGATTTTAAAGGTAGAGAGATGTGTTTTTTAAAGTACGCTATTTGCATTTTTCTTAAATATTCATCAAGGTGTAGCTAAAATGCTTTATCAAATTCTAATAACAGATTGTACATTATAAATTAAGAAACAATTTGATATCAATATGTATCCGCAAATGTTTCGTTTTCTACATATATGGTTAAAATTATAAGAAAAAAATACACATTATTCTTGAAAAGAAAAAATACAGCTAAAGCTATTTCATTAGACATTTTTCATCATCACTTTGATATATAGATTTTTATAAATGTCATATCCTCTGAAATGGTTCCTTGGATCATTTTAGAAAAAATAAAAACAAAAAACAAGAAAACACAGTTTGTTTCATATACATATTTCATGCAATGCAACATGCGTTGTTTCATGTTATTTATTTGACAAATTATTTGAGTTTTGATGTCTAACAGCACCAGTGCTGTGAAGAGATAAAGAACTACAAAAACATAATTCCAAAATTAGAAGATACAAATGACGAAGGACATCAATTTCAAATTAAATTTATTAAAACTGTGGAGAATATTGTAACATATAGGTATCCAAATCGTTTTTTTCCCAACTAAATTCCCATATGATAAATCAAAGTAGGAACCAGTATCAGTTTTTTGTAATTGTCTGGGTAGGCATTATGGATGATTTCTTAATTGGTACCTTTTTTCTATCATTGAGATTTAATGGCGATACTTATAGAGAATGTTTTCAAAATCAGATGAATGAACTCCTGGAAGATGTTCAAATTGCAGCCAGACAGAGAACAGTGTTTATTCACAACGGAGCAACAGTTCATTTCAGTAGAGTTGCTAGTAACTGTTCAAATGAAATTTTTTTCAACCGATGGATCGGACGAAATACACTATGTATAGCCAGCTCGATCTCCTGACTTAAATCTGCTTGATTTTTTTTATAGGGCTATCTCATCTCCAGTGTCTATGAAATACTAGTAGAAAATGAATCCTAAATGAACCTCAGCAAGTAAGATAAATGCTAGGAATCTTTAAAAATTACGACAGTCTTTAGAAAGAAAATGTAGGACACTTTTTTTATTAGAAATATGCCAGAACATTTAATGCGCCTAATAATTTTTCTGAAAACCCAGTGACGTAACTTTTTTTTTAATTTTGAATGATAAGCCTCCTCCCGAATTTCCACTAGTAATTGACAGATTTATATAGAAATATACCGAATAGCCTTTTATTATAGTTACATCATTTCCCCAAATTTTCTCAATCTAGGTCAAACAACTTCAGAGGTAATAGAAAAAATGTGATATTTTTCAAAAACTTTAACACCCTCTGTGTTGGAAATCAGTAACTTTAGGATCCTGGTTTATTAAGGCTTTTGGGCCTAAAACTACTCGAGAAATCACCCCCGGGCTTAAAATATACCCTTTATATTTTTTTTCATGTTCTAGAAATTTCGGGGCCTTTAAAATGTATCTCAAACCAAATCAGATATCAGTAATGTTCTAGGAAACATCAAAATAAATTTATTACAAAAAGTTCTTCCGTTTATTGTTTTTACAGTTATATAATATATAACTCATATAATATATAACATATGTAAAATATTCGTTTTACAGACTCCTTTTACTCAAAAGTAAATAGTAGATTTTAATTCTAAAGAAATTCTATTAAAATTTTCTGCAACTACTTCTACTTAATTTTTCAGAAACAAAAAGGCGTTACAAATCAATTTATAACCTAGCAGAATTGTTCCCCAAGATATCAAATATTCGCCCAAACATTTTGGGAATATCCTGTAGATTTTAAATGTTGGAAAAGGATTATTTATTTATGTGTTTTTTAACTGGTATACTGTATTATTAAATTCTAAAGGCTTGTTGGAACATTTAAAACTACATACATCATAGGTTTTACATTTGAAGAACTGGTATACTGTATTATTAAATTCTAAAGGCTTGTTGGAACATTTAAAACTACATACATCATAGGTTTTACATTTGAAGAACTGGTATACTGTATTATTAAATTCTAAAGGCTTGTTGGAACATTTAAAACTACATACATCATAGGTTTTACATTTGAAGAGAGCATAATTTTTTAAAAAGAATTACTTTTATATATTCCCTCTTTTCAAGTCCATCCCTTAATACACTGTACATGTATATTTATAGGCAACATACATAGGAATGTATATCCAAAAAATAATAATAAAATACCTACCTAGTTCAAAAGTTTTAAAAAATTAAAAATAGTAGCTTTACTATTTCTCACAAAGTAAAAAATGTTAATGGCAATGATTTTTCCGACTTTTAATGGTATTGAAAACAAAAAATTCCCGCATGTGCATTTTTTGTGAAATTAATAGTTTTAGGTTTTGAATCTTGCTTTAGATATATTCAACTGTGTGATAAGTTTATTTTAAACAATGCATGCTGATATAGATATTCCTAAAAATGTTATAACATCAACTTATTTCTGAAATAATAACAATCCACAATTTTGTTTACCTACATGACTTCCTTTAACTGTTATAAGTAATTAAATTTAAAATAAGAATCACGTTTTTTTCATCAATTTTCAACACCCTGTATCCCAAAAAAGCTTCTGTGAACACATACTTCGGCATCTACCTACATGAAGTTTATTTCTTAATTTGTAAAACAGAATCAACCTTAAAAATTTGGCCAAAAATTTTAGTCACACCTTGTATAAAATTGAATTTAGCTGAATTTATACCCACATATTTCGAATATCTATAATAGAAATAGAATAGAAATAGTATGTTCAAATCCTATATTTTTCTTTTGGGAATATTTCAAAAATCATTGACCGAAAAGGAAGATTAACAATTAAATCTGAATTTACGGAGGTAGGTATTTTACAGCAGTAGAACAGAATTTTAAAATTACGAAAAAGAAGTATTTAGGAAAATTCAAAATTTTCAAATAAAAAAACTACTAACGGCATTAACTTTATTTCGTTTCTTTTCAATATAAATTAATATACGAACTGCGTTATCATGCAATTTTTATTAATCATCGAGGAGTTGTTTCTATAAATGAGCATGACAACCAACTGAAAATGATGATACACTGTAAGACAAACATATTACACATTTTATATTTTTGGGATGATACTATTTAGAGCTGTTTTTAATGTTTAGCTCAATATTTTGCGTTCTCACATAATTAAATGCCAAACCAAAATCGGGCTAAAACTGTTGGTTATTTAATTGCAATGTAAAATAAGTCAAATTTTTATAATGCAAAAGTTCAGTTTTCACGTATATATTAAATAGAAAGCAACATTAGTAACAAAAAATACAATAATATAATGCGTATTTCAATCATCATAACGATTTGCAAATAACTAAAATATGCATATCAACTTTGAACTTTGGAGATACATCCGTGTCCAACAGCATTTTTAACTGATTTCCAAAATTATTTTATTAGCTAAACGTTTTCAGAGAGCTTGGTAATCATATTTGTTTTTCTGAATATCCATCTTACTCTAAAATTCACTATCATCAAATTACATTTTTTCTAATGCACAACTTTGGTGCAATTCTTACTAATAATGTTAACATATACATACTGTCGGAAATCTTGATAGTAATGGCAATTTTTTCAAAAATTCGTGGAAGAAACAAAAAATTAAATTTACAGTTCAAAGCACACTATCCAATTGAACAACATAATAGGTACACCATGTCAAAAAAAACGAAATATGAAGTATTAAAAAATACTCACCTAAAGACAAAGCGATGACGGGTTTTTCGGGATTGGGTTTGAGGTCCAAGTTATCAACAATTTCCCTAATAAAATTTTTACAATTTTTCGCTGTGGTCGAGGGTTCGACTTTCCAGATTTCGGGTTTGCTTTCAGTAATGTTCAAACTATTCTTTTCTTTAAGTTTGTTGTCCAACATGCTCACACAAGAGATACTTTAATATTCCGGTTTCGCAAGTATTTGTTTAGTATACGTATTTCCACAACTGAACGATATCAACCGCTTGAATAATCTAAACGTTCTACAGATAGGGACAAGTATTTAAATAAGCGTTTTTTTGCTTATTAATTTTATTATATAGAAAACATATACCTATAATATGCTAATTTGGTTAGTTCTACAACGCGTGTATTTAAGACGTATTATTTTCAAGAAAATAAAATAAACAACTTATGCACCACATTTTCAAAACATTTGTTTATACAGAGTATTTCCTAATGGCGCACAGAAAGTCAGGGGCAAATTATGTGACTAAAATTAAGATAATATCGTTAAATAATTATAGGATCCCAATATCTCCGATTTCCAGCCACAGGGTTTTCAAAATGAAAAAAAAGACGAAATATAAAATTTTTAATTTTTGAACCGCTTTAGATATTACTAACGATTTTTTTTAAATACATTAGTACCTATAATATGAAACAGTTCCAGTTTACATAAATCTCCAGTGGAGAAGTAATGGATACTGTCATGATTTCTTCACAAAAAAATGTATCACTTTGTATAATATTACAAACAAAATTTAAGTCTTCAAATAAATGCTCCATTGCATTCTCATTTGTTATGCCTCCACACTTTTTCGCATCCTTCTTAGCAACAAAACTGATTTTCTTAACAAGTGTATTTTTTACTTATTTTAAACGGTATTAATTTAATTCAAACAAATTCAAGAAAATCTTATCAAACATGCAAAAGATATTCAACATCACGTACAAGATTGTTAACTGCTGATACTTCGGGAAATAACTAGTACTCCATTCCATGGGTTACATGCCCCAGCTATGATATTGTATTACACCACGCTAATACTCATTAAACTGTTAGTAATAAATAATTATCCAAAATTAAATAAATTAAAAATTAAAATTTATAGATAAACCTGATATGTTTACTTAGTAAAATGGGCATACAAAAAATTTTTTTAGATAGAAAAACAATTATAATAAAAAATTAACTGGATTCAAGTCTGGTGATTAAGGCGACCAAGGTTGACATGACGAATTGCTCATTTAAATATGCACTAGCAATCACACTAAAACATGGGGGAATCCCATTGTGCATAAACCATATCCGTTGTCTGAGTACAATGGGAACATCTTCAAACAGTTTAGGTACCAAAACGTTTTCAAGAAAATGGTACGAATCACCAATAAGGTCTTCTAGTCAAAACATCACCAATAATACCCAACAATACATTTGCAGATAACTGACATTGTTGAAATTCTACTATTGGAGTGGAGATCTGTATCCAAATGGAAATTAATTATAGCTTTTCTTGAAAAAGTGGTAGTAGTAGTAGGAAAAAGTAGTAAACAGTATGTCAGCGGTAAAATGTATATTTTCTGCAAAACACAATGGCAAAATTGTAAGCAGCAGTAAGGTTTGAACTTGGGACACGAGCGGTGCAATGGCAATAAAGAAGCTGACAAGCTAGCCAGGAGTACATCGGGTCTCAATATTTTTGGACCCAATTCCTCCAGTGTGCTTCCGTTGTAAGCACTCGCTGAAATTATCAAGGAAAACATCCACAAAGAATTTATCAAACGGTGGGATGATACAAATAGCTGTTAATTCGCTAAGGAGTCTTAGAATACCCCTGAAAACATACCTGGCCACATCTATAGGTCAAATCTTCGCCTAGTGACAGGTATTCAAACTGGACATTGCTGGCTAAGGAAGCACCTTCACAACATTAGGAAGTGTGAAACAGATCTTTGTAGGGGTTGTGAACAGGAAGACGGGACAGTACTATATATACTATGGGAATGCACTGCCGTCTCGTCAACAAGAGAATCCGTGTTGGGATAACGTTGGCCTTCTCCTATATTAGAAAGATCCCCCTGAGTAACGTCACCATCTTTTTCTCTGTAATAGGTTGGTTAGCGGCTTAGGTGGATTGATCTCCTAATGCGAGGAAATACAAGGGACTCAATGGGGCCTGAGTGCTGTAGCTTTTAAGTCACCCTTCCTAAAATTTCAGAATTCCACAATGAGTATTATGGAAATTAGTTCTACTTCTCGAAAAAGCAGCCTCATCATTAAACAGTATGTTAGCGGAAAAGTGCACATTTTTCTACAAAATCAAATGGCAAAATTGTAAGCGAGAGAGATAATCTTGTGTTAGTAAGGTTTCAACTTGTTGATCTTTGAGAATTGACCATGGTACTAATTCATTGCCTATGTTAAAATTTGTAGCAATTTTTTTGCCACTTGCATGAGGATCATGTTCAGGGTCATATAATATAGTTTTTTCCAATTCGAGTATTCTAACCGTCAGAGGTTTACCATAACTTTTAATATTAGAAGAAATGTTAAATTTCGACACTACTTAAAACCCTTGCCAAAAAGATTATTATACTGTAATTAAATCATTACAGTCATTTCTATTTGATATCATAAAAATATACTTGGTAAGAAAATCAGTTTCGTTGTTAAACGGCAAAGGATGAGAAAAATTGTATAGGGGAAAAATAAAGGGAATGCAATGACTGTAATATTATACACGGTGATATATACAGAGCCTTCATAAATGTTTACAAGCCAAGTGACCGCCGAGCTTAAGCAACGAAAATTCCCTAAATCTTGGTGTCACCAATGACAAACCATCGCATCTACACTCGAGATCTTGACCTTACTGTTTTAATAATAATTTTTAATTTTAGCGACTTAGTTGCCAAAATGAAAAAAATAAAATTATTGTTACAAACATATTACTAGTCAAGTGGCTTGTAATCATTTATAAATTCTCCCATTGATTATTTATGTAAACTGAATTTATTTCATTTCATGGCTACTAACATATTAAAAATGTATTCTGTAATAATCACAGTCCCACAAAAAAAGGCAGGTCCGAAAGACAAGACCATGGTATCCATATGATTTTGGAGTCACTGAATCCGAATCCGGTGTTCGTTTGACACGATTAGCTCTGGTTTAAAGTCAGTTCAAGGTCAAATGTAGAAAATCAATTGTCAACAAACTAAACCTATGTATGTACACGTTTTTGCGGTCGGCTAATCCGAATCCGGTGTCCGTTTGACTCGATCAAAAGGACCCCGCACAAACCTTATGAAAAATGGCTTTCGGTCAAAATGGCTGAAATTGAAATATGATAGAGCTCTCACCTTCCTGAGCAAAAGTTGTCACGGGCCCAAAGCGATCCTATGAGTAGGTTTAAAGATATAGAGCTTTGAAGCTAACGATTTCATAGCACGGTGCTGAATATAAGTGCAGGATAGGTGTATGTATATCTTCCTTTCTATACATGGTGAGTCAGTTTTTTGTAGACAAACTTTAACAGGAGATAGAATACATGTTTTTAAAAAGAAAAGTTCCTATAACCATATGTCGTAGAAGGCTTCGTTTCCGAAATACGGGGTGTTGAATATAATTTTTTTTTCTCGAATATTCATTATAACTTATATACGAATGCTTAGATTTTTTTCATGTTTGGGAGATAATGCCTATTAATTAAGGGGCATAAAAAATGTTCAAAAATTTGCACAGTGGCGGAGTGGAGGGGGTGCTCAACCCATTTCTTAAACAGAACTTTTACGCCAATGACTATTTTTTTTTTAAAACTGTTATTTTCATTATCTACATGTAGTTTAACAAATTCTTCTGTCTCGAAATTCCTGTGCGTTTCCGAGTTATTTTGATTTTTAGTGTTTGTTGTGGTACTAAATTAACTAATTTATTTATTATCAATTATCGGCTAAATATTTAATTCTTTCAACGAAACCTACCTAAATATGGTTTGTTAAGGATTTTAAAAAGCCGAAATCTCTTATTCTTTATTTCTTTCCAATGTAGTCAAAATAAATATTTGTTATATCAAACTATACTCAAATACAAGACTTTTATAAGTTGAAATCTGTTACATTACATACATACAATACATTATTGTGCAGTTGCCAAAAAGTTTTAAGAAGTTGTTAATTAAATATTGTTATAAATTCAAAAAAATTCTCCATAAACATTAACATCAATGTTCATTCAATGTTTTTTTTTTGTAATTTAGTTGCAGTACATTAGTATTTACGCAGCACATAATAAATAAGGATTGTTAAAATTAGTGTACTAAACAGATTTCAACTTATAAAAGTCTTGTATTTGAGTATGGCTTGATATAACAAATATTTATTTTGACTACATTGGAAAGAGATAAAGAATAAGAGATTTCGGCTTTTTAGAATCCTTAACAAACCATATTTAGGTAGGTTTCGTTGAAAGAATTAAATATTTAGCCGATAATTGATAATAAATAAATTACTTAATTTAGTACCACAACAAACACTAAAAATCAAAATAACTCGGAAACGCACAGGAATTTCGAAACAGAAGAAGGGACATTATTTTTGTTAAACTGTATGTAGATAATGAAAATAACAGTTTTTTTAAAAAATAGTCATTGGCGTAGAAGTTCTGTTTAAGAAAGGGGTTGAGCACCCCCTCCACTCCGCCACTGTGCAAGTTTTTGAACATTCTTATCGCTTGTTTTATGCCCCTTAATTAATAGGCATTATCTCCCAAACATGAAAAAAATCTAAGCATTCGTTTATGTTATAATGAAAATTCGAGAAAAAAGAATTATATTCAACACCATGTATCTCGGAAACGAAGCCTTCTACGACATATGTTTATAGGAACTTTTCTTTTTAAAAACATGTGTTCTATCTCCTGTTAAAGTTTGTCTACAAAAAACTGACTCACCATGTATAGAAAGGGAGATATACATACACCTATCCTGCACTTATATTCAGGACGTTCTATGAAATCGTTAGCTTCAAAGCTCTATATCTTTAAACCTACTCATAGGATCGCTTTAGGCCCATGACAAGTTTTGCTCAGGAAGGTGAGAGCTATATCATATTTCAATTTCAGTCATTTTGACCGAAAGCCATTTTCCATAAGGTTTGTGCGGGGTCCTTTGGTTTAAGTTCAGTTCAAGGTCAAATGTAGAGAATCAATTGCCAACAAACTAAACCTACATACCTATAGGAACGTTCTTGGGATCGCCGAATCCG